CGTCTGTTGGTTTGGCCTACTCACTTCGCCGAGCTTGTAGTTTCCACGAGTATGGATTCGGTTGTCTTGCCTCTGGTTATCGCTACCTTGGCTAGCATCCGCCTTCTCTTATTTCCCCTCCTTCTTTGGTCCACAATGAGTTAGGCTTCACCGATTCGGCTCCTCTGCCGTGTCCAAGCCTCTTTTTTGTCTTGCGCTAGGCGGCACTTCGGATGCTCCTTGGTGTTTTTACGCCCCCCCGTGTGGTTTTACGCACAAGCTTACCCATGTCGCCTCGCTTTGTTGCCTCTGCTCCGGCTTGCTACCATCCATCTCTTGTCATGCGGTTTCTCTCTTTCGTCCGGCTTTGTGGATTGCCAAGCCCGGCGGCACTTTGTTGTCTATGCGGGCAAGCCAGTACTGTTCTGTCTTTGGCCCTGCTAGCCCCTGTTCTGCTATCTTGCTAAGGCGCAATTGGGGTCTACTTACACTCTGTTGCTGGTCACGTCGCACCTGCACCTATTTGGGCGAGCCTACTCAGCTTGTAAGGCCTCCTTGTTCTATTGTTAAGGGCTTAAGTCCTCCTTGTCTCTCGTCAAGCCAAGCTATTGATGAAGCTCCAGTGCATCCTTGACCTGTTGCACTACTAGAGTAGAGCACTTGCTTGCCCTTCCGTTTTTGACAATGGCTAGCTCCGGGGCTCCTATCTTGGTTGTATGTTGTTTTCTGTTGTATTCAAAAAATTGCTTTGTACATGGTTAGGCTTTGCTCTTTTTTGCTCTCTCGGCAAGGTTTTTGTCTCGTTCGTTGAGCTTTTTGTAAAGGGTGCTAGCTAGTTTCTACTTGGTTCTGTTTGGTTTCTCTTGGAATCTTCGCTTGGTCGATTCCTTCGACAACCATCTAGTCATAGCTACGGTTCAGCTTCATGGAAGCATGTTCCCCTTTTGTAAAACTCTGTATATGTTACTCTTGTCGGCTCTCCAGCTAGTTTTACCTTGATTTATACACTTACATTTTAAATAAAAAAAAAAGAAAAGAGCTCTCGGTAGTAGTAAGTAGAGTGAGAAAGAAGAGAGAGACGCTCTCCTCCTTGCATGGAGTTCCTTCCCTCCGGATTAGCCTTACTTACATGCCGGACCAGCTCTAATCCGGCTCATTTACGAAAACCATGGATTAATTTCTCCCTCTTGTTCTAGTTTCCGCATCCCTCTCTCGCCTAATTTATTGCTAAACTTCATCCACCTATTTTTCTCTCTCTTCCCGTCACTTCGGCTTCCCCTTTTCGATGGCAAAGAAAAGTGAAAACCCCTAGCCACCACCCCCTACTTGCTACTTTCCCGAAAAGTTCCGACTATCCCATCCTTGCACTAGAAGCCCCCATCTCTTCCACCCACCCTACAAGGAATCCGGCGCCCCCTCCCCCGATTGCAAAAAACCCTAAACCCTAAAAAAACCGCTCTCTCGCAACCCGGCCCTCACAAATCCCGGGCCCCATTTTATGATAATGTATCGGTTGAGGTCGAGGACTTGCTCGGACGAGGACGAGATCGGTGAAGAGGAGGAGGGGTGCCCCGAGCTAGAAGGATTACATCCGCCTCACCCCCGCTTCCTGGCCGCCGTGCAACCTGTTGTGAATTCGGGGAAGCCATCGACACACGCCAAATTGCCACGGGATCTCGACTGCATTGTAAACCTACTCACCATCCTGGCATATACTTGTCTCATGAAGTCAACCCTCCCTTCTTCACACTTCTAAAGACACCGCAATACACACGGAGACTTTTGCGGGCGAAACATCCAACAATAAAGCAAGTGGTTCTCCCCCATCCCGCTAGTAAATGGAGAGACCTATTTGTAAGTAACCGAAACTCGCTCTATGTCCTAAATTGTCTCATTTCACTGCTATCACTCAATCAAAACAATGCATTTTGATTAATGATGACACCCATTGTGAGCTATGGAAATCCTGCCTTGTGGGTTATGTTGCGGCCGAAGCCACGGGTACAGAGCACTTTGAATGGAATCATTAGAGATACTTGGAAATGTCTTCGCTACCCTAATCATTCATGAATCGAGTTGGTTAATCTATAAATTCCAATGCGAAGAAGAAAAGCTTTCGAGTGCTTAATGGTGGAGCCGGCCCGCAGAGGGTGCTACTTGCCGGCCAGTATGGGGTCCGCGAGCGGGCGGCTCGGAGTGGCATGCGAGCACTGCCGCGGGATGCACACGTGCCGGACGTAATGGGACGTGAGCCGGCCGTAGGGGTGCGCGACGGCGCGCGGGGTTGCATGCGAGCCGGCCCGCATGGGGTACGCAAGCGGTCGCGCGAGGTGGCATGCGAGCCGGCCCGCGAGTGGGACGCGGCCGGCCCGCGGGGGTTTGCGTGCCGGCCGCGCGAAGGTGCAGCGAGCCGGCACGCCCATATGCGCGGGGGGCCTACGACCCGGCCCGTAGGGGCTCGCATGCCCGGCCGCGGCGGGTCGGCGAGCGGGCGCGCGGGGGAGTCCGCGTGCCGGCCCAGCGAGGGGGATACGAGCGCCGGCCCGCGGGGGTCGGCGAGTGGGCGCGCGGGGCTTCCGCGTGCCGGCCACGGGGTGATGCTAGCCGGCCCGCGCAGTGCACGCGAGCCGGCCCGCGGGGGGCACGCGTGCCCTCCCCGTGGGGGTGCATGCCGGCCCGCGGAAGAGTGCGAGGCCTAGCACGCCAATCATGCGCGGGGGGCTGCGAGCGGGCGCGCGGGCGGCATGCGAGCCGGCCGCGCGGGGGTCGACGAGCGGGCGCGCGGGGGTCGGCGTGCCGGCCCGCGAGGGGGATGCGAGCAAGCCGCGCGGGGGTCTACGAGCGGGCGCGCGGGGGCTGCGTGCCGGCCCAAATAGGGTCTACGAGCGGGCCCGCGGTGCACGCGAGCCGGCCCGCGGGGGGCACGCGTCCGCCGTGGGGGATGCAGCGCGAGAGCCGGCGGGGTACGCGTGCCGGCCGCGTAGAAGGTCACGCGAGCCGGCACGCCCATCATGCGCGGGGGGCTGCGTGCTAGCCCGTAGGGGGCTGCGAGCGGGCACGCGGGGCGGCATGCGAGCCGGCCGCGGGGGGTCGGCGGCGGGCGCGCGGGGGTCGGCGGCGGGCGCGCGGGGGTTCCGCGTGCCGGCCGCGGGGGGTCGGTGAGCGGGCACGCGGGGGTGCGCATGCCGGCTCGCGAGGGGAGGCGAGCCGGCCGCGCGGGGACAGCGTGCCGGCCCACGGGTGCACGCGAGCCGGCCGTGGGGGCACGCGTGCCCGCCCGCGGGGGATCCGCATGCCGGCCCGCGGAAGGTACGCGTGCCGGCCCGCGAGAAGATGCGGAACTAGCACGCCCATCATGCGCGGGGGGCTGCGACCCGGCCCGCGGGGTGCGCGGCGGGGCGCGAGGTGGCATGCGAGCCGGCCCGCAGGGGGTCGCGTGGCGGCCGCGCGGGGGGATGCGAAGCCGGCCGCCGCCGGGGGTCGACGAGCGGCGCGCGGGGGGATGCGAGCCGGCCCACGGGGGTGCAGCGTGGCAACTGCGGGGGGATGCGAGCCGGCCCGCGGGGGTGCTGCGTGCCGGCCCTAATGGGGTACGGCGAACGGGCCCACGGGTGCACGCGAGCCGGCCCGCGGGGGGTACGCGTGCCCGGCACGCCCATCATGTGCGGGGGCTGCGAGCCATCCGCGAGGGTACGTGCCCAGCCGGCTGCGGGTCGGCGAGCGGACGGCGCGGGGGTGCGCGTGCCCGGCGCACGGGGGGATGCGAGCCGGCCTTGCGGGTGGCATGCGAGCCAACTGCGGGGGCACGCGTGCCGGCCGCGGAAGGTACGCGAGTGGGCCGCCGGGGGTCGACGAGCCCGGCCGTAGGGGGTACGCGAGCCGGCTCGCGGTGTGCGTGCGAGCTTCCGCGCCCGACATCCGGTGAGGGGCTGCGATGGGGTGCGCATGGGACTGCGAGCCGGCCCACGGGGGTTTCGAGCGAGGTAGCGGGGGGGCTCACGAGCGGGCGCGCCTTGCTCGCGCTCGGGGGCCGGCGAGAGCACACGGCCCCTTGCGGCATGATATACCGCAATCCGCCGGCCCGCGACCCTCGACCCACGGCCCTAAGGCCCCGAGGCCCCAGAGCCCCGAACCCCGAGCCCCAAGGCCCCGAGGCCCCGGGCGCGGGTGCGGGTGCGGGCGGGCGCGCGTGTGTTTCTTTTAAGGGATTGTTGGCTTCCCTATAGAGAAATATGTGGAATTTCTGCTACGGCAGGGGTAGACACTACTAGGTCCCGGGTGTCACCCCCTCTAAAAAATTCAATATTTTTTATTTTGAGGTGATATTTTGTACACCTAGCGGGAAAAATCCAATCTATTTTCTGGAAAGTTTTCGAGAATTTTCCAACTTAGGAAATTACACTTTTCTATTTTTTGATCTTTAAAATTGTAGAAAATCGAAAAAAATAGAAAATAAGTCGGAACGATGCCAAAATTTTGGCAGAGCCCAATAATAGTGTTTTTGATTTATTGGGACGGTTTTTGTGTGAAGGGTCCGGTATTTCATTCGGAATGCGTAATTTTGTGTAACTCGGGCCCTGCGGCCGAGTCCCGGCTCCACGGCGGCAGCTGCTCGTCACCTCCTTTAGCGCACCGACCCATTCAACGTGCGCACGGCCACGCGCCCGGTGTCCGCGGGGAGCTGCCCGGCGCACGCGGGGCTGCGAGCGGCCGCGCGCCCGGCTTGCGCGGGAGGCTGCGAGCGGGCGTGCGGAGCCGACGGCTGCGTGCACTGCCGGCGCGCGCTCGGCATCTCCCGCTGCCTGGCTCCGGTGCCTAAACTCGTTTCGCGAATGGGGCATGCGGCGGCACGCACGTCGGGTATTTGAAAGGGACCGGGGGCCTTTCCTATAGAGCGATATGTAACTTTTCAGCTCTAGCGAGAGGTAGATGCAACAATGTCCCGACAGTCTCCCCCGCTCTAAGAATTTCAATTCTTCGTATTTTGAGCTGAAATTTCGATCACACGTTTGGAAAAATACAATCCACTTTCTCAAAAATTTCCAAAATTTTGCGAGGTCTTAGGGAATGCTTTTTCATTTTTTTTTATTTTTGGGTCGACTAAAACGCAGAAAATCGGGGAAAATAGAAAATAACCCGGAACGTTGCGCCTTTTTTTGAGGATGACAATAAAATTGTGTTATGGAATCATCGGAATGCTTTTTGTACGAGAGAGACTGAATTTTCTTGTCGGATCTGCGGAATGTCGAGTCTCTTGCATCCTGCGGCAAGCCCTGTTGCACGACCTCCGTGGTGCACGGGGCTGCCAACTCTCGTGCGCCCGTGCACTTGCT